ATATTCACATTCATCCATTCTTCAAGTATACCGAACATCATATTTAGTTTCATTTCTAATTCCTCACAATTTTCTCCTGTTACACTTGCAGTCGTGTCATCTGCAAATAACTTAAATATACTTCCCTTCGGACAAACTTTAACTATATCATTTATATACAAAGTAAATAACAGAGATTCTAATACGAATCCCTGTGGCACGCCATATACTGTATCAATTATTTTAGAACATATGTCATTAAATCTAACTTGCTGCTTTCTATTGCTTAAGGATGTTCTATAGAGACAGGTCCAGCCAAAAGTCATGGAAATCTTAAAAACACCGATATTAATTCTCTAGAGATCCAAAGACAAAAAAATGTACACAAATAGTTACAACAAGTCTAACAGAATGTAAAAAACGTAGATTTAGTAACTGTAAATAACTGTTACTACTATTTTTTTCTTAAACAAAATCTCGGCAAAATAATTTTTGACAGTGAATTTGTCCTGAATTTAACTTCAAAAAATTAAATCTGTAAAAAATTATAAAATATAAAACAAAGTAATTGCTCTAAACTCGTAATTTCAGTCATATTCAATAATATAAATTAAGTATATTGTATAAACATGAAAATTATATTTTTATTATAATGATATTTGCTGTAAATATATTAATAAGCTAAATGTGACAACACTGTACAATCCAAAAGGTTGGGAGGCCTGTTTTCACACACGCGTACTTACACAAATCTAGTTAATATATTGGAGATTAGTGGAAAAGCTTGTCATTTTTCAAGTATACATGCTTTACGGACGGAGCAGCTGATATTGCGGTGTTGCCACACTTTCGTACTGCGCGCGCCGATAGTCCGATCACGAGTCCGATCCGTCAATACTTTCATTAATCTTTTTGCAATTTCTTCAAAACTATGGTGTAAATTGTTTCAAATTTTGTTGCTATATTTTTGTTTGTTGATGATCTACTTGTGTGTAAAATATCACTATATTCGTTACATTTGTTAATGTTTTTTTTTTTTAACACTTTTCTCTGTAACGCCATAAGGTTACATGTTAAAACTCGGATATTAAAAAATTGATAACTTTTTATCTAAATTGTGAATCAATCTGAAATTTGGCCCCGAATTTTGAAAGCGTATTATACAGAATATGATATTAAATTTTCATCAACTTCGTTACATTTTGCTTAACTATATAAAACATCCTTAAATACGATTTTAACCATACCTATACAACTCCTCTTATTCCATACTGATATAATTTTTCCATTAATCTTACTCTATCTATTGTCTCAAACGCTCTCTTGGATCCAGGAATAACACTCCCATCATTTTTTTCTCCTCAACTATCAACTTCCAGTCCTCGATAAAACTTTGAATTGCTGTCTCACACGACTGCTGTTTCTTAAATCCCGATTGGTGTTCGGTTATTATTTCATTGTCTTCAAGTTCCAACTGTTTTTTTACAACTAACTCTAATACTTTTTCGTATATCGGTAACATATTAATTGGTCTCGCTTATTATACTCGCTCGCTTTTCTGGTTTGTTTACTTTTGGTATCGTGGATGTTTTCCATCCTTCTGGAAAGGGAGGGAGGGAGGGAGGAAGAGAGAGAGAGAAAGAGAGAGAGAGGGAAAGGGAGAGAGAGAGAGAGAGTGGGAGGGAGGGAGGGAGGGAGGAAGGCAGAGAAAGAGAGAAGATTTTTTACACGTAACTAATAAATGGAATACAAGCCGCAAAAGAATTTTTTAATAGTCGCATGCTTATACAACACAATTATTTTTTTAACTAAATAGTATAATTTATTTTGCATAATTCATTTGTATAATTCATTTTGTTGCATCAATAACAATTATAAGACGACGACATTTGTAACAACCAGTCCCATATACAGGGTAAGTTGTTACAGTACTGGATTAAGTTGTGAAAGATCAAGTTTTCAAAGTATAATATATTTAATAGAGAGAAATAACAACAAGTAACAATATGTGTTATATTACACTTACATTGTTAAGTGCAAAATTATAATATGAATGTAATTTAACTCATGTTCTGTATTGACTGGTTCTGATACGTAATAAGAGACGTTAACGGTGAAATCTTACATAAGATTAATATCTGCCGTTGTTATGCCGAAATTATGTTTTACATCGACAGAGTTGGTCGAAATTATAAGTAGAACAGCAGTAACAACCTGCCCCGGCCATATTTAGATATTTTGATTATTGTTTAAACAAAAAAATTTTTTAAGACATTAACATAACTGGAAGTTATTACGTTTAAAGTAAAGATTTTAAAGACACAAATATAATTATGATATGATGACCAGATTTATAAATATAACGTTTAATCACATCACTGATTTATTTTACTTTTGGCTATACAAAACTAAAAATATTTTCTGTTTGTGAAAATACGTTACTCAGCCTAAAATAACTAATTGAAATATTATCGCAATGTAATTGCGGAAATACTATATTTTTTACGCAATATTATCTTTTGTCACTTTTGCAATAATTACCGTGTACCTACCTGCCCCATGTACCACCATGTACATACCAACAAGCCCCGGTTTTCCCTACTTTGCACGTATATCTATTTACATTTTAAATTAAACTCAATCTTCATTCACACAAACTTCACACATGCACATGAAACATTTGCATGAATATTTGTTTATCAACGCCAAGTTTTTTTGGACAAAGTATTCTGTTATTTTAATAGGCATAATAATGAAAGAATTAAATATCATGGTAAACACAATTTTTCATGCTCATTAATAAGTTCTTTTACATTAAATATTTCATTACAAAATTACAAAGGTTGGAAAATATGTAAAAATTTAAAAATAAAAATAACTCGCGCATTATTTACCGCGCCTGGCTTTTAATTAGCCCGTTTTCTTATATTCGTGGATTTCCAATGGAGCCTATACTTCGAAATATTTTATTATTCTATTAAGTACGATAAGAGAATTAAATTGCATATTTATGTAAGAAGGATTAAATTTTATATGTATAAATTCATGCTCACTTGGCATGCCTGACATCACTATTTTTATAGCAAAAATAGATAAAAACCATATTGTTTCGCGCAATAGCTATGCACATAATAGGGCACGTACATTTGGCGCCCTTTTGCTTCCTCATAGAGGAAGCTTTGTTTTCGTAAACTTCGTATATGGACCTTTGATCGCATATAAAACTAGATCTAATCAACCAAATGTTAATGAATTATATATGAAATAGGGGTAGAAAAGACCGAAGAAATAATTAATTTTTTAGTTTTTGATGCCAATGTGTTTCCTATGTTCTAAAACGTCGAAAAATCGCTATTTTAAAAAATGTCGGTATGTGTGTATGTATGTATGTATGTGCCAAATTTACCGAAATTTCTACAACTCCAGAACTAATCAATCAAATCTTAACGAGTTATATATGAAATAGGGGTAGAAAAGACCGAAGAAATAATTATTTTTTTAGTTTTTGATGCCAATGTGTTTCCTATGTTCTAAAACGTCGAAAAATCGCTATTTTAAAAAATGTCGGTATGTGTGTATGTATGTATGTATGTGCCAAATTTACCGAAATTTCTATAACTCCAGAACTAATCAATCCAATCTTAACGAATTATATATGAAATAGGGGTAGAAAAAACTGAAGAATATAATAGAATTAATAAAAATTGCTAATAATAAAGAGGTTACCGATTTATGTTTAAAAAAACAGCCAAACTTACTAAAATTTCTATAACTCAAGAACTGATTAACTAAATTTTAAAGAATTATATATGAAATAGGGGTAAAAAAACTGAAGAATATAATAAAATTAATAAAAATTAATCGTATGTTTCGGCCTGTATTACGAGCAATATTCAGGTGTTAATAAAAAATTTTTACATTCGCGTGTAATCCGTTTTTATTCTTAGCCAACGTTTCGACCTACTTGGTCTTCCTCAGGGCAACTATCGTTACATTCACATAATAAATTAATATCTATTGGAGCTCACATAAGAGATTATATACAATAACGTTGAATTTTGATAGTCATCGTCGGTGATGCGACGCGTAAGCAAGGTCAATGTCGTGCTCTAATTAACGCTGTCATCAGGCACACATTAAAAGTTACCGATTACATTCTCGCAGTTTATATATTCATTAGCAGTACGTTCTCGGTACGAAACACACAGGTTTGAAGATACGCTCGTTAAAACATAGGACCTGTTATCGTGACCGCACTTATTTGCCACTAGATTGGCCGCGTGAATAAGAGCTTGACCGAATCTACTCCCATGTAACATGACGAACAACGACAAACATAGACGCCGAACATAGCCGTTGCATGTATGCATCCCAATCCTAAAGAGGACCACCGATAAGATGCAATTCATACCTACGGAGGACTGCGGATGCGAGGGAACTAACGGACATGAATATATAAACTGCGAGAATGTAATCGGTAACTTTTAATGTGTGCCTGATGACAGCGTTAATTAGAGCACGACATTAACCTTGCTTACGCGTCGCATCACCGACGATGACTATCAAAATTCAACGTTATTGTATATAATCTCTTATGTGAGCTCCAATAGATATTAATTTATTATGTGAATGTAACGATAGTTGCCCTGAGAAAGATCAAGTAGATCGAAACGTTGGCTAAGAATAAAAACGGATTACACGCAAATGTAAAAATTTTTTATTAACACCTGAATATCGCTCGTAATACAGGCCGAAACATACAATTAGCTTTTGCTTCAGACGAGCAAAGATACTTATATTTATATTTATTGTTAATAAAAATTGTTAATAATAAAGAAATATATAATTATATCTATCTCTCATACATTTTAACATCACAGCATATTATATAATATGATAATAAACTTTAGCCACATGAAAAAACAAAATTATAAAATTAATAAAGTTGTATAATGCAAAGCATATTACAATTCATTATATATAACTAAAAACTTTTTGATATTTTGTATAGTATTACTGTGTGTGGAGGAAAAATAAAAATATTACTTTTAATATATAAAGCGCAATACCTACATTCGTCAATTTTTTTTTAATGACATTATAGGCTACTATGACGAATTATCATCTGAGTCTTTAACATAAGGAACTAGTTTTTTATTATTAATATCAGGAAAGTGGTTGTTACTGTTATCTTCCACATCAGTTAAAGAAGCTTCACTTTGTTTACCACTTTCATTCAAAATAGAGGTTTCTTCCGTTTCAAACATATGTTCATGAAGATCTAAATTACTTTCATTCTGCTGCTTTGGTTCCCATCTGTCAAGAATAAAAAAAAATTAGAATTAACATAAACGAAAAACGAGATTAACACAGTAAGTTACTTACGTTTTAGCTCGGCCAATTGACTGACGAACATCTTCCTCAGTAGCATCAGGTGCAACCATTGTATCTATATGTTTAGTATGCCTAGTTGCACCTACACAGATAAGAATAAACATAATTAAAAAAGAAAAAACGATGAGCTATCACTATCTTAAAAGTTTGTACATATTACATCAACGTCGCCGTCTTCAAACTCTACTATACTAAACGTCATTGTTTCTAAATATACATAAAAAGAAAACAAAAATTTAAAATTTTTTTCTTATAATAAAATTATTCATATAATTTTTTAATATTTTTTTGCTAATTATATAATTATTGTACTAATGATAAAACAAAGAAAACGTAGCATAACCATTCTTGAAAAGCAATGTTACACATTTCTGCTTGATTTTATTCACAGTCCAGCATTGTAATGACGATAAAATCCATAGACATGAAAGCAACCAAGATCAAGTAATGGAAATGATGGGGGCAACAAATCTTCCATAAGCAAAAATTTTCTACCTATTACCATCATATCGTTATCATCAGTGTTACTAGATGCAAAATTTTCACACAAAATTATAGTACCATCAACAAGAGTACAAAAAAATCTGCTTCTTTTGATATATTTAATGATATGCCACCGGGTAAAGAAAGAAATTTAAACTGAGGAAAACAGCAAGTACTGACCCATCAATATGAACACTTATGAAACTAATCTTTGAAACCTGAACATCTTTTTTATGTATACTATATTCCGAATATCATCGTTCATCGTGCTATCCGTTGCAGAGGTTTCTCACCTTTTCTAACAAAATACTTGAAAATTTGCATAAAATTTTCAAATTTAAAGGCACTGAAATTGTCTAGGTTACCAAATTATAGAATATCTTGCGCTAAATGAGTTAGCCCATGAATGTTATGACTAACGTATTCTTCACCATATAACAACTTAAAGCCTTCAACAAAGTTGAGAAGGAGTTGATGAGCATAGTTATTAAATTTCAAACATAGGTTTGGGCTGGCTAATATACGAATTGCTACATGCAAAGACAGGAAATTATTATAAATATCTTCATTCAGATGACGGAATACAATGGGCCCTAAATATAAAAGAATTAATCTTAATTCAGTTGCTTTATATTTATGAACAAACTCTAGAGATCGAAGTTTTCTATTAAATTCAACAGGAATATTCTTTTTTAAACTGATTAAGTGCTGAGATATGTCACTTGCTAACTTTAAACCTATTTTAACTTTACGGGGACCAAATAAAAGAAGCAGAAGTAATTTTTTTACAACCTCTAGACAGACGAGATGCATATAATCCAGTACAAAACAAGATACAAGACCAAGTCTTGGAATTTCATCTAAGATGGTAGTGTCTTTATGATGTTCATTCTTCATCACTTCTTAGATCACAGTTGGATAAAGGAAAAGTTGTTCTATTGTTTAGTCTAATTCCACATTGTTTGCATTTTGTACATCCATAAAAAGCATTGTAACCACAAATTTTTAGAACAAAAAATTTTGCTGGAGCATCGCAACAAAAAAAACCAACCTTTACAACAATTAAACGATTATCGATTAATAATCCATTTTGACATTTTTAACTCATCAAAAAATTATTTTTAAAATATATTACTACATTCTGGTTTTGAATACCCATAATATATACCAACAGGGAAAACATTTTAAGAACCTTCAACTGAACATAATATAGGCCACAATGTACTTGATGAAGATGAAGATATTGGTACACCATCAATATTAAATGTTAATTTCAGTTCTGTGATATTCGTGTCATTGTATAAAATACGAAGTTGTTTAGCAAGGCTATTGTGCCAATATTGTCCCGGTGGCACACTGCGAAGTACAATTAATTTTAGTGATGTTTTCATTAAAGTTCTTGAGTCTTTAGGTAATTTTTTGTCTGAGCACTCAGAAAGCAAAAATTGTAGTTGGTGATGATTTATTTTAGTATCTAATGCTCACTGTGCAAGTTTATCCTCAAAAGATAGAGTTTCACAATAAGTATTAAATTCTTTGTCACTTTTATCATAATTATTTATCTTTGTGAAAGCATTCTCCACAATGAAGAAAGCATATACATAGATTACATTTTTTACATAAGTCATGTACTTGAAGATATTTATCATTGGATAACTCATTTGATATTGCAGATAAATCCAAAGCCACAGAACAATCTGGAGTAATATTATCACCATGGAGACATAAATCATCATGATTATTATTTTCTTCTTGCAATGCTTATAATGCATACAATTCCAATCACATTGATCCGTCTTATGATAAGAAGAGGAAACAGAATGTTCTACATTATATTTTACTCTTTGTGTTGCGGCAGGAGAAGAAAGAGTGCTACTTTTGTTACATTTAACAGCTCTATTCAGTAATTGCTTTCGATACTGAGGTGTCCGGTCATACATTGATTTTGTTTTTCGCATAATTAATCTCACGTCGATCTCTTAATAAGGATGCGTACACCTTCGACAAATAAATATAACGATAAGTCATTGCATTACAATTATGGCTCGTCTACACAATAGCCGTAAAAGTATGCAGTAAGACGTGAGCAGTAAGCTATTGACCAACCACAGTCAATTATTCTTGAATTGTAAAAATCCCATTAGTCAACAGCTTACTACTTACGTTTTACTGCATACTGTTGCGGCTATTGTAGACGAGTCATTAAGTTTAGGTTATGTTAGGTTAGTTTTTGTCAACAGACTAATAAACGATAAAATTTCAATATTTACGGCATATTGATAACTAGTAAAGAATTTTGTTTCATTACGGCTATATTTTTTTATATTTTAGACTTTTATGGTGTAATAAAATACTTAATCTGATTCGCGTTTTTCATAGGTGAAACGTCGGAATCAAATCCATGAAGGACGCGGCAGCATCTTGGAAGCCAGATCAGGCTATAGTTTTTTATACCACAATTTATTATTTTGTAAATTACGCAGTAAGGGCCGATTTCACAGTCTCCGATTAACTTGATCCTCCGATTAAACTCAC